ATTTATTTATTTATTTATTTATTTATTTATTTATTTATATTTGAGAGGAAGGAAGAGAGAGAGGGAGAGAGAAACACCAATGATGAGAGAGGATCATCGATTGGCCGCCTTCCGCATGCCCCACACTAGGGATTGAACCTACAACCTGGGAATTGTGCCTCTTAAGGTCATTTTTATTGTGACCCCTTTATGTGACCCTAGGGTTCTTCTCAACGGCTGAGTACTTCCTCCTGTGGTAGGACCCCACACACCATAACACTCATCACATTGATGTAGTCATTGGTCTACTTCCCCAGCCCAGGCGCATGGTTCATGTTTTTAAATTCATCTATGTATCTATCTGTTATCTATCTATCTATCTATCTATCTATCATCATCATCATCTACGTATATCTATTTATCTAGCTGTCTTCTTGCTTGTCTAAAGACTGGGCCCTTCCCTGAATTCTAGATTCATATGTCCAAATCATCTACTCAACATATATACTTGAATGTCCAATATCCATCTCTAACTGTACAAAACTGAACTCCTAATTACCCAACCACACACACAACCAATCACACACATTGCCCTACTCCAGTGATTTTCAACCTTTTTCATCTCATAGCACACATAATCTAATTACTAAAATTCTGCAGCACACTAAAAATATATTTTTTGCTGATCTGATAAAAAAAATTGGTATAATTTTGATTCATTCAAATTGGACAGCTATCATTGTGTTAGTTGTCATTTTTTATTTGACCATCTAAAGGAAAAGAGGTCAGTGCCCCTGACTAAATAGTCAGGTATTGCATGTTTTAAAAATTATTTTGACATACCGGTTGAAAATCGCTGCCCTACTCCAATCCTGGTATTTCTCATATCAGTTAATGGCAACTCCATCTTGCCATTTATTTAGGCCAAAAACATTGGTACATCCTTGACTCTTTCTTCTCTAATTGCCCACATCCATTCTATCTATATGTCCTGTTGTCTTTACCTTCAAAAAGAATCCAGCATCTAAACACTTCCAATCTCCTCTGCTACTACCATTACTGGAGTAACCTCATAACTAACCTCCCTGCTTCTACCCAAGTCTATAGACCCAACCCTCTATTAGCACTGCAGCCTAAGTGATCCTTTTAAAATAGAAGTCAGACCCTAGCTCAGTGATGGCGAACCTTTTGAGCTCGGTGTGTCAGCATTTTGAAAAACTCTAACTTAACTCTGGTGCCGTGTCACATATAGAAATTTTTTGATATTTGCAACCATAGTAAAACAAAGACTTATATTTTTGATATTTATTTTATATATTTAAATGCCATTTAACAACAACAAAAAAATCAACCAAAAAAATGAGTTCACATGTCATAGGTTCGCCATCACTGCCCTAGCTGGTTTGGCCCAGTGGTTAAAGCGGCAGCCCTAGGACACCCAGGGTCTTGTGTTCGATTCTTGGTCAAGGGTGGGTTCGATTCCTGGTCAAGGAAACGTACCTCAGTTTCGGATTCCTCAATCCCAGTAGGGCCATGTGTAAGAGGCAACCAATCGATGTTTCTCTCTCTCCAGAAATCAATAGAAAAAAATATCCTTAGGTGAGGATTTAAAAAATAAAAATAAAGTATATGTCTGTATTATTTTAAAATTAAGAATAAAATAAAAGTCAGATCTAAGCAAATCCTCTGATAGCTCCCCCATTTACTCAGAGTTCATGTCTTTGCAATGATCTTCTAGGCCTTACCTCATCTGCACCCTTTACTGCTCTGACCTCATCCTCTAGTACTTTATCCCTTGACTAGAGGACCAGTGCACAAGATTCATGTACTGGGGGTGGGGGGTCCCTCAGCCCGGCCTGGACCCCCCGGGGGATGTCCACCCACCTGCAGCAGAGGCAGGAGAGGCTTCTGGCTGAGCGGCACTCCCTGTGTTGAACATCTGCCCCCTGGTGGTCAGTGCATGTCATAGTGACCAGTCGTTCCGCCGTTCAATTTGCATATTAGTCTTTCATTATAAAGGCTTATTCTGCTTCAGGCTCACTGCCCTTGTTCCTTAGAATAGGTTAGGCATGCTCCAGCCTCCAGGCATGTGCATTAGCTATTTTTTCTGACTGGAATCCTCTTCCTCAGTTATCCATGTGGTTTACTTTCCCTTCTCCCTCTAGCCATGTTCACATGTTGATGTCTTAGTGACACCTGCCCTAAATCCCCCATTTAAACTGTATTCCACCTATGTCTTCCCCAAGACTCTTACACTGATTTTTTTTGCATATATCTGGTCATCTTCTACATACTCTTATTTTTTACTTATGCTTCTTTTTGTCTCCCTTTCTAGTGCACCATCAATGAAAGCTCACTGGGGACATAGTTTTCTCCCTCTTTTGTCCACTGCTGTATCCCCAGTGCCCACAAGTGCTTGGCATAGAATAGGCTCTCATATTAGTTAAGGAAATAAAAAAATAAATGATTGAATGTCATTCAATCTCTGCTGGGGTTCTTGTCCCAGCATCAAGAAGGGTTCAGGAATCTGGAGAAGGCTGTGCGTAGATGCCATAGGAATCCAGGGACTAATAAAGAGTCCGGAGATGAGATATAATTTTGAAAGGCATTGGGGGTCAGAGGGCCTTCAACTAAAGGAACTGAAGACTCCCTCCTTGTCTAGGACCCTTGCTTTTATTTTATTTATTTATTTTTTAACTTTTTGACTCAAGGGCCACAATGGGTTCTTTTTTTTAACATATTTTATTGATTTTTTACAGAGAGGAAGGAAGAGAGATAGAGAGTTAGAAACATCGATGAGAGAAACATCGATCAGCTGCCTCCTGCACATCTCCTACTGGGGATGTGCCCGCAACCCAGGTACATGCCCTTGACCAGAATCGAACCCGGGACCCTTCAGTCCGCAGGCCGACGCTCTATTCACTGAGCCAAACCGGTTTTGGCGACCCTTGCTTTTATTAACACAATTTGTCCTAAGGCAAGGTGGAGATAATACACTTCAAAGGGTAAGGTTTCAAAGGGTACAGAGTCCATTGTCAGAATGGGGGATTAGCCTACAGCTGTACAGATGTTTGGCCAGTAGGATGCAATAACATGTAGATTAACATGCCCTTTAACTGTCTGGCAGACACAACCAGTTTCCTATTCAGGTTTGGGAAAATGCCTTTAGCCATTCCCAACAGGTGACTACATGTGTGACTCAACCCTGGTGAGTCCCCAAGTCTCATCAACCTTTTGATGAAACTCTTGAAATTATGACATGCTGGAATTGGTCTACGGCAAATTTCCCGCTAGCCAACCTCATTCTGAACCTTCAACCATTTTAATATACTGCTTTGATTATTGCAGGTATTTCTGGAGCAAGTCACTGTTTTCTGACATGGCATGCCCATTAGTTTGACACCAGGCCTTTGCTTATGTGGTACTCAGCCTGGGGAACCTCTCTACCCCCTCTCCTTGCTGGCTAACTTCTGCTCATCCTTTGAAACTCAGTCTATGTGTTGTGTCTTCCAGGGAAATTTCCAAGCCTGGGATAAGTGTCCTCTGTGTCTGTCACATTTCTTTTTAAAATATAATTTTAATTTTTCAATTACAGTTGACAGACAATATTACATTAATTTCAGGGGTATAACACAGTGATTGGACATTATATAACTTATGAAGTGGCCACTCTGATAAATCTAGTACCCATCTGACACTATACATATTACAATATTATTGACTATATTCCCTATACTGTACTTTATATCTCCCTGTCACTTACTTCTCTAACCAGCTTTTAGTGACTTTTTAAAAAATATATATTTTTATTGATTACAGACAGGAAGGGGGAGGGAGACAGAGATAGAAGTATCAATGATGATGAGAGATAATCATTGATCGGCTGCCTCCTACAAGCCCCACACTGGGGACTGAGCCCACAACCTGGGCATGTGCCCTGACCAGGAATTAAACTGTGACCTCCTGACTCAACCACTGAGCCATGCTGGCTGGGCTTTCTCTTCTGGGGACATAGTTTTTAGGACTTTTTACTTAATTGTCAACTCCATGATTCCACAGGCCCATTGGAGGAGGGCCTGTGGCTGTTCACTGTTATGTCCCTAGGGTCTGGCATAGTACCTAGCATATAAAGTACTCAGATATTTGAATTGTTGAATGCAAAATTCAGCTAAAAGTCATTTTTATTGTGACCCTTTTGAGGAACTTCTCATCAACTGTTCTTCATTTTAGGAGGCATTCATTCATGCAACTGAAAGGCAATGAGGGTCAAACAGGTAACAGGCTATTGCAGGTTCCCAGATGGCTTACCCTTAAAGAGTTAATCAATAACAACAGGGCACAGAGAGGGAAGATGCTATCATTTACTTTTGACATCTGTCATATTAGCTTTGTGCTTTTGATAAACACAAAGCACCTCCCCAAGGATGGTGCACACTCCTCTAAAAACCTTCCCTACAGGTTCTGGATATACAGAGTTTATCCGTAAATTTTGTCTATGGGCCAAAATGCACTGGATTCCTGGCCACTACTTCTTGTGCTGTCTTCATGTTCACATTGCTGCTCTGGGGCCCAAAGACACTATCAGAAGAATTCAAGCCTGATCTTTGGCTTCAATGCACCTTAGAGAAGGGTCTTCCTTTTTTGCCCAAGTCCCTTTATCTGTAGTTCAGGGTGGAGCTGAAAGAGTTACATGGAATGCTAATCCATCTGAAATATGAATTTACGCTCTTATACCATTGGGAAGTACTATCTACCTCCTCTACTCTCTTCATTACATATCACATTGAAAATAAGCAGGCAAAAAACAGGTGGTTCTTTGCATAGAGTTATAGTGTATATTTGGAGAAGGTACTGCCTCACCTGCAAATTAATGGAAATGATGACAGCCTTTTTCAGAAATATGCAGAGGTTTTGGAAACCCTGAACTCTTTTTTTTCTGGAATGGGTTTTCTCCCTGTATAGACCAGTGCCTACTGCTGAGGTGAGAGTTGAGACCTGGCATGGATTTTTGGTTGAGTGGCACAAGTCAGCTGAGGACAGTGCTTAGATCTGTTGTGGGAAAGGCACTGGAACCAGGAGTGGCCAGGCTCAAAGGGGTGTTGCTGGAGTTCATTGTCTAGGCACTGGTGGGCATCAAAGAAGGTGATATTCTTGTCCTCTATTGCTTCACAGGGCGTCTGGTGGAGGGTGGACTCTTCAACCTTTTTGGTCGTGGTTTTGGCCACTGTCTCATCCTCAGAAAGGAGAATGGATTCTTTATGCCCTTGAGCTTTCAACTTGTGTTTAATCCAGTGTGTAAAATGCTTCATCTTATTTCCGAAGCCAGCTTCTGCAGCTTCTGGAAGGGTAGGGCTCTTGTGAATGTGAGCTGCCTTTACCAAACCCTAAAGCTCCTGATCCTAGAAAGTGTGACCCTACAAATTTGGTTCCTGAAAAGTTTGGATCTGAAAAATGTGGGCCCTTTCAAATGCTGGACTTGCAAAATTTGGCCTAGTGAATGGTGGCCCAGAAGGTGATCCTGTAAGGTCAGGCCATTTCAGCTCTGGACACTGCAGATTTGGCATTCTCAGGAATCCTTATTTGGATGAGGTCATTCAGCTTGCTCTACTGGCCCTGCAGACCATTCTTATCTGGACATTCTGCCCCAAGAAATCCTGGAGGATGCTCTAAGAACTCAAGGTGAGGGTGACTCTATAGATCCAGACTTGTCATTGCTAGTCTCTACTCACTCAAGGCAACCATCTTGGTCAAACTAAAATTCTATTTGAGAAAGATCCTGGAGATACAGTTGGGAAGTAAGGGGCTCTGGTGGTCCAACTTAGAAGTGTCCCTACATAACCTTGAATTTTGGCACAGTAGATGTTCTTTCTGGTTGGGGCGAGCCTCAGTGTTGCACTCCCTTCTCTGTCATTCTCTGCTGTTTTGAGTTTCCCTGGGTCCCCTATTTTCTCTGCTGGAGTAGGGAGTTGTCTCTATCTTGTAGAGACCTGGGGCTAAGAAGCCTAGGGCTCCTCCTGGCTGTGGTTGCTCACACTGGCCTCCATCTGAACACAAAGCACCCGAATCTCTGTTATGTCCCCACTGGGTTGTGAGATCTTGAAGGCTCAGTGAGCAGAACCATAGGACTGCTCTGGAACTAGCTTGCTTTTGGTTCTGTGCACCACCTTAGTTTATTTGCAAGCTCTTCTTTAAAGTGGACCCTTCAGGGGCACATGGGATGCCTGGTGGGATGGGGAGTTCCTGGGGCAACGTTTCCCCTTGGTTGTGTAGACTCCTAAAGGACTCCTTGGCACAGCTATTCCTTGAGATAGCACAGTTCCTTCCCTGGACTCCTTTGTCATTATGAGATGTCCCAAATGTATCTCCAGGAATTTCTTTTTCAGGTAAAAATTTGGTTTGGCCAAGACGGGTGTATTGAGTGAACAGAGTACTAGGATCTGTCTGGCTATCTAGAGGCACTGTATCCATTCGCCTGTACTTCAATCTGGAATGCTCGAGCACTGTCTGCACAAGTTTCATCGGCATCCTGAAAGCATGGCCAGGACTTGCACGTTGCTGTTTACATGAGATTGAGTCAGAGGCTCTATTGGACCCCCGACAAACCCAGGCTCCATCTCTGTACTTGCTGATTGGCTACTGATTGCTGGGGCCATGACCTTGGAGAAAGCCATGTAGTTAAGAGACAGCACCCCTGACAGAAAGGCCAAAACCTGTCTCACTGACTCAGTTTCTCAGTGACTCCCTGCAAGGGTACCCACACAGGTGCTGATCAGGGTGATCAGCGACAGCATCTGGTGAGGTTTGTTGCTGCTGGTCAAGGCCTGTCAGTATTCAGGGTGTTACTTCCTGATCCATCTAAGGGTCGATTGCTGCCTCCACACAGAAGTTTACTTTCTGGGCTGTAAGGGAACAAAGTTGCTTCCAGGGCCCCTGAAATGCTGCAGACCCAGTGATTTACAGTCCCCCCATGCAGACATGGGCAGGGACAGTACCTAGTAGATCTCCCCCATTTGTAGTCTGGCTCTGCAACATTGCCTTGGCCAGGGCAAGCAACTGTGAACTGGTCCTGTTGCCACAAAGTATCATAACAGGTCCCTATCCCCACGGGCCTCTAGGTCTGCAGACTTAGGAAACACTCACACTGGTTAGGGTGCTCCTCCAGGGCAAGGGCGGCTGGTCATCAGGGGACAGAAGAAACTGGATGGACTGCTGGATCTTCTGGAGCAGGCCCTAGCAATGGTGAATTGACCTGCTAAACTGACCCCTTCTGAAGGTGGAACTCCAGCAGCTCTGGGCCTGCTCCAGGAAAACACTACCTGCCTCTTCCTGAATGAAATAGGCTTCCCCAACAGGCAGGCCCCTGAGTCTCAGGAGACAGGTTGCTTAACATGTCTCAGGGCTTATGTTGCATGGTTCTCTGCATCTACAGAGATCTCCGGGCAACAGATGGCAAGTCCCACTGAGGCTGGAACTTCCTTTGCTGCAGTGCCACCCCAAGGCTTCACAATTGGTCAGGGTTGGAAATGGGACGTTGATATGGCCATGTTGATAGTCAGATGGAGAAACCCAAATTCAGAAATGTGGGAAGAAGGTAGAGCTACCCGACAGTAGAGACTAAGGAGAAATCACTGAAGGGAAAGGGACTGGGGACTTCCCTTTTGTGGATAGATCTCCAGGGGTAGACCAGGGACTGTGCAGAAAAGAGGAACCATGAAAAAATAGCTGTGTTTATGCTGCAGATAACACACTGAATTCTCAGTGTGTTGCCAAGGTAATGGACAGAGACCACTTAGTAACCAAAGGGTGAGTCATGGAGTTTGGGATTTGCTTGCAGTGATATTTGCTCTGGATCCATAGTGGATCCTCTAAAAACCCAGAAAGTCTGGGTGGACTGGCTGACCTCCCATGACCCCAGGGGCCCCCAAAAGTAAGCCCCTGTGTGGAGGCAGCAGTAAGCCCTTACGTGGATCAGGAACTGACACCCTGAATACTGACAGGTCTTGACCAGCAGCAACAAACCTCACCAGATGCTGTCGCTGATGACCTTGAGCAGCACCTGCGTGGGTACCCTTGCAGGGAGTCACTGAGAAACTGAGCCAGTGAGACAACGAAGGCCTTAGAGGCAGTATTATGATGAAAGAAAAAGTTGTTTTTTCCCTCCAGGCTTGGAAACTATTCACGGTAGTGTGACATAAGCTGCCATAGGGCCTCTTCCACACATCTTGGAAGCCCTCAGCTATAGAAATGCATGAATTTATCTATCTGTATTTAAAGATACCTCACACCTTTGGTGACACAGGAACAACAGGTGAAGGGAATGCAAGGCCATGGGGGTATTTTAGGTTTGTGAACTTTGGGTTCAGGGAAGGAAATGTATTCAAGGGCTGCTGACCTTGTTTCTCTGAGACATATTCGGTGTTGCTCTTCTTGTACTGTTGGTTCACAGGAATCCTGCACTCCTCAAGGCTCCAAGAAGATGGATCTCTTGCGTCCCAGAACACATCTGGTGCTTGAAATTCCTGCCTTAGTTGGTGGTCAGCCCAGTAATCTTGGATGCTGATTGCACCAGTTGACTGGGAAGCTGACTGGGTTAAGGATTTGTGATCCTTTAGTTGTGTCATTGAGGGGGTTACAGGTGCAGCTGAAACCTCTCTGGAGTGCTGGGAACACTGACTTGGATCAAAAGACAAATTAGACATGGACAAAATATCTAGGCAAGAGGAGCCCTGCGATCGCCTCGATGAAGTGGGAGAGATGGGGGTACTCTCACTCTCCAGCAACTGCTTAATCTCCAGAGCCATAGCATTGCAGACAGGGCAGGAGGGGTCTGCACACAGGAGCCTCCGCACACTTCCCTCCTGAGGAAACCAGCGCTGGCTAGAAGAGGAAACATGGCAACTGTTATTGATGGGCTGACAGCCGCCTCTTTGGAAGCTGTGGCCTGAGGATCGGCCCTGCCCTCTGAGTCCTTCACACCCGGGGGCACACCCCCCACCCAGTGTTTACTCCCCTACTTTTCTTCCTAAGAAATTGCCACTTGGCAAGTTATTGTGTGCTGGGCTGAGGGTCTGGGGCTTGCTGGGCAAGGTCTCAGACAACCCGTGAGAACAGAGCCATGAGTGAGAGGTGGGTGAGTTCTTTGTTGACCTGGGCTAAGTAGCTTAACCAGAGATGGGAACAAAGGATGGGGGGACTGATGGTTAGCTGATGGGATATCACCAGGGCCATCACCAGGTAGAATTTGGACTCAGTCTCATTTAAGGCTAAGAAGGCCACAGCCTGGTATTTAGTATTTCCAAGCTGTAGAAAATGAGGTACTTGTGAGAACTCTGCATTCCAGGGACTCTGATAAGTTGCCGTTATCTATAAATAACATCTCTTGGGAGCCAATCCCATTCTCTAGGGATTTTAAGAAGAGGATGAGATGACAAGCTCCTAGCTGGGGGCTGTCTCAGGAACTGAGCTCCCTGAAGACAGAACCAGAGGAAGTAATATCAGCAAGGTCTAGGGGTCTGCCCTTGAAAGGGTGTAGCTGTAAGAAGAGTATGAGAGTGATTACTTAGGTATGCACTTATTTATCCATTCTCTTGGCTGAATAACTTGTCTCGTGGCTGAGTGCAGATCCATGTAGAGCCTTTTATGAATTAAGTATAAGTCGAATTCTGAATTCCAGGAGCACTGTGAGCTTAGCCCAGAGCAGAACTAGGACTCCTCCTCCTGAGATATGTGAGGCCTCCCTTGCCCTGGCAACCCCCTCAACCAATGCTCCAGCCTCCACTGTGTCTGACTTCCTCCTAGTTATCATCCCTCTCCCAGGCCAAGTAGAGAAACCATCACAGTTCAGACTGGAGTTGGAAGACTACAAAGAGCAAGTGATCACCTTTTCATGATAGCGATCAGCTCCCATGGCTTCTCATCTTCTTTGGAGGAATGTTTTTTACCTGAGAAACCAGGAGACAGTGTTACATGGAATAGGAGAGGAGTCAGGGACATACTACAGGAAGCTGAAGGTCAGAGAAACGTTCCATGGGAACCTTGCCCGCAGTGAAGGGGAGTCAGAGGAGAGACTGGGACTTTACCTCTTGATGTTCTATCTTTAGTCCTTTGTTTGATTCTCCGTTGATGCTAAAAAAAAGAAAAGTTAGAGTATGAAGCTGGGGCATACTTTTTTTTCATGTCAAAATGAGACAGAACCTGCAAACTTTTTTCTGTATACCAATTTTATACATTCTTGTTTCTTTCCCCTACTCTACCTTTTTCACCCCATCATTTCCTTTCTCTTATTTCTGATTCATTTTGAGGCACTTTCATACTCCATACTTCCACCCCCATTCCCTGAACAAGTTCTGTGGCGAAATCAGAATGAGCTCTAACCGGTTTGGCTCAGTGGATAGAGTGTCAGCCTGCGGACTCAAGGGTCCCAGGTTCAATTCCATGGTCAAGGGCATGTACCTTGGTTGTGGGCACATCCCCAGTATGGAGTGTACAGGAGGCAGCTGATTGATGTTTCTAACTATCCCTCTCCCTTCCTCTCTGTAAAAAAATCAATAAAAATATTTTTTTTTAAATATATTTTATTGATTTTTTACAGAGAGGAAGGGAGAAAGATAGAGAGCTAGAAACATCGATGAGAGAAACATCGACCAGCTGCCTCCTGCACATCTCCTACTGGGGATGTGCCCGCAACCCAGGTACATGCCCTTGACCGGAATCGAACCTGGGACCTTTCAGTCCGCAAGCCGACGCTCTATCCACTGAGCCAAACCGGTTTCGGCAATAAAAATATTTTTTTTAAAAAAAGAATGAGACAGGAGAAAAAAAGTAGAATAGATTAAAGGATGGATGGTCTAGTAGCCAAGGGACTTTAGCCATCCAAGGCTCTAAATGCTTACCAACCAGCCTGGCTGGCAGGGCTCAGTGGTTGAGCATTGACCTATGAGTCAGGAGGTCGAAGTTCAATTCCTGGTCAGGGCACATGCCTGGATTGTGGGCTCAATCCCCAATGTGGGGCATGCAGGAGGCAGCCAATCAATGATTCTCTCTCATCATTGATGTTTTTATCTCTCTCTCCCTCTCCCTTCCTCTCTGAAATCAATAAAAATATATATATTTAAAATGCCTACCAACCAGAAGAATCACCCACATTTAGAGCCAATAAGGATACCCCCATTAAAAAAGCAGGGAGTAAGGTAACAAGAGAAATTAAGGAAATAAAATCTCATTTGAGGCTTAATCGCTTCAGTCATGGATATAGCTTTTCCCTACCCGGCAACCGCTCTTGTAAGGTCCAAATTTCAATCTTTGATGGTTCTTTTTCGCTTGCCAAATAATTAATGCAATAATGATGATGGAGCCATAAGTGTATAAGGGATATCCTATTTCCCACAGAACAAATGTAGGGTTCAACATGATCTAAACCTAGCCATCCTCCTCCCAGGCTTTCAAGATCTTGAAACATAATGAGTCCACATTCTAGACCTTGTCATCTCCGCCTCACAGAGGATGCAACCAGACCAACAGACTACATCACAAAGCCCTCCTGTTTCACAAGGAATGTGGATCATTACAGACCTTTATCTGTCTAGAGACAGTAATTTTCAACCTTTTTCATTTCATGGTACATATAAGCAAGTTGCTAAAATTCTGCAGCACACCAAAAAGTATATATTTTTGCTGATCTGACAAAAAAAAAAGCTATAATCTTGATTCATTCACACCGGATGACTATTGTTGCGTTGGCTGTTGCCATTTTTTTTTATATAAAGTATTTCTGCAAGGACATCTGGTGTCTTTTAATAAGAAATGGTATTTAAGCTCCTTCTCATCACTTTTTTAAAAATATATTTTATTGATTTCTTTACAGAGAGGAAGGGAGAGGGATAGAGAGTTAGAAACATCAATGAGAGAGAAACATCGATCAGCTGCCTCTTGCACACCCTCTACTGGGGATGTGCCGCAACCAAGGTACATGCCTTTGACCGGAATCAAAACTGGGACCCTTGAGTCCGCAGGCTGACGCTCTATCCACTGAGCCAAACCGGTCAGGGCGGCTGTTGTCATTTTTAAAAATTTGACAATTTAAGGGAAAAGAGGTCAGTGTCCCTGACTAAAAAATCAGGTATTACATGCTTTAAGACTCTTGTGGCACACGAGTTGAAAATCGCTGGCCTAGGAGACGCTCATGTGATTCAGTATTCAGATGAGAGTATCTGGTTGTCTGTGTGGAGTGCAGGGTGTAGGCCTAATGATGCTAAGGTCACGGGCAGCATATATTCTTTCATGCTCTTTCTATTTCCTATATCCGGATGGCTCACCTCTCTCCTTTAAGACAGTAGTTGGACATCGCTCCCCAGGTAACTGAGCCTTTATATATGCTGCATTGCCCTGTAAGAGTGAGAGAGAGGCTAGGTCAGAGGAACTCCATAAACAACATCACCTGTAGTGAGAAGATAACTAAAAAAGCACACAAGAGAATAGGGCACCCGATGTCTTGTTAAGTCTTGGAAAGTGAGGGTTTTGATGTCTCAGGCAATAAATAGATGGTCATGTGGAAAAGTTCAGGAAGAGCGCCATGTCTGATGTGGCCAGGAAAGGAAATAACTGCTGTCCTTTTAAATAACTTTCTAAGTTACTAAAAAAGGCACTTTCCACTCTGGCCAAGCTCGACATGGACAAGGGAGACTGTAAAATGCCTTGGAGAGAGGCACATGAATGAGGCTTACCTCTGGAGCTTGATTTTCCAGAATGGCCTAAACAGATCTTATAGCATCCTCTCTATTCATGGAGATGGATTTATTGGCACGATTTTTTATTAAGGACCATAAACTTGTGGCTCTTTGTTTGATTCCATCATGGCTGGAATGTTTGGCTGAATGTGCTATGAACATCTGAATTTGAACACATTTAGGCAGAGCAAGTTTCTTCCTGTTCAACTTCAATACCCACCATCCTTATATCCACTGATTCACATATTAATGTTAACCTTCCTGGCCCTTGTTGACATTGTGATATGCCTCCAACACTCCCGGATTTCTGAACTTCTTCCTTAAGAAGTTCTTGCCCTGCCCTAACTGGTTCGGCTCAGTGGATAGAACGTCGGCCTGAGTACTGAAGGGTCCCTGGTTTGATTCCAGTCAAGAGCACATGCCTGGGCTGCAGGATTGATTCCCAGTAGGGGGCATGCAGGGGGCAGCCGATCAATGGTTCTCTCTCATCATTGATATTTCTGTCTCTCCCTCTCCCTTCCTCTCTGAAATCAATAAAAACATATTTTAAAAAAGAAGTTCTTGTCCTGATGAGAGTGGTCCTACAGCTCAAACATTCTTAAGCCCCAGATTTCTGAAGAGGCTTTTGGTCCTGCCTCCAGCATCCAGTCTCCCGCCTAACAAGTGTGGTGAGTATGTCAAAGCACAAAGACATTGAGTTGTGTTACCTGCCTGCTCGAAAGACACTTAAAAAATCTAGTTTTAATGACAAGACTAATTCACATGAATCAAGAACTAACCTTACCAGGGGTTTGGAAAGAGGGGAGAAGGGAGTTATTATTTAACCAGAGGCCCAGTGCATGAAAACTCATGCACTGGGGGGGGGGGGGGGGGATCCCTCAGCCTGGCCTGCCCCCTCTCACAGTCTGGGAGCCCTCAGGGGATGTCCTAAGCCGCAATCTGGCCTCCCTCTGAGGGAGGCGACCAGGCCGATCAGGGGAAGGTGATGCCCCCATCACATTGCTGCTGCTGCTGCCACTGCCGGTCGGTCGCAGCAGCAGCAGCCACCATCCACGGCTTGCCTGAGTCTTGGCCCGGCCCTTGCAGCAGCAGCCGCTGTGGCTTTGTCCAGAAGGACGTCCGGAAGACTTTCAGTCTAATTAGCATATTATCCTTTTATTAGTATAGATTATTAGTATAGATGGGTACAGAGTTTCTGTTTGAAATTATGAAAAAGTTCTGAAAAGGGTAGTAGTGATGGTTGCACAACATGTAAATGTACTTAATGACATTGAACTATACACTTAAAATGATTAAAATAGTTGATTTTATGTTAAATATATTTAACCACAGTTTTAAAAACAAATTCAGAAAAACAATCCTTAGCATGAGGGACTTTAGCTAGCTATAAGGAAGAATATTTTGAAAATGCTTTGATAAAATATTGGATAAGAGAGTATTTTTCTTGAATATTATTTTTATGTAGAACAAAATTTTAAAAATAGATCCTTACATTTCATCCTTGAAGATAGGATGAATTTGAGCCATTTTGACATCTTTTCTGAACTTGCAAATTCCATAGTACAGGACAGAGAAGACTTTTTTTAACCCAAGAGCACTAAATGACAGGTTAACAAAAATCAATTTAAACTCAGCTTGCATCAGCTTTTCAGTAGCAGGTCAACATACCTACAAAGTAGCTTGACTCCTTTTAAAAAAATATATTTTTATTGATTTCAGAGAGGAAGGAAGTGGAAGAGACAGATGGAAATATCAATGATAAGAAAGAATCATTGATCGACTGCCTCCTGCATGCCCTGCACTGGGGATCGAGCCTGCAACCAGGCATGGGCGCTAACTGGGAATGGAACCCTGGCCTCCTGGTTCATAGGTCGATGCTCAACCACATCAAAGCCATGCTGGCTGGGCTAGTTTGACCCTTATGTTACTTTTATTATTACTACCCAATCTGGCCCTGCTTCCTGCAGCTACTACTTCTCTCTACGGTGCTGCAATAGTTCTATCTCCCGTTAACCTGATGCAGTGTGGTGCTGTGTGCTATTTGGTGTCCTCCTCCTCTGGACTCTGAATATACGTGCTTAATAAGCTACTATCAATCCCATAGGTCCAGTGTCAGTGCCATGCATTCAGCCATCCCCAGAACTCTAGAGTGGGACGCTCTCCCTCGCCAATGGGCTGTAGATGAGGTAAACAGAATACCATGTATCCTACCAATCAGCTCTTGCTTCCTGCAACTGCTGCCACCTTTTAATTGCAATTGCTGCAATAGTTCTAAGTCTCCATTAGCCTGACCCCTTGCTCCAGGCAAAACCATCAAATTCTGCAAACTTCACACCTGCTACAACCAGTGCATTTACCCACATTTCATCCCACGAAGCCATTAAAACCATCTGCTGAAATCTCCTCTCCAGCAACTCACCCAGCCCTTGCTCCTCTGTCTCAGAGCTGTGGAGTTAGAAACAAAGATAATCTTATGCCTTTTGCAGAATTGGCCTTTAGTGCAAGTTTACTTATTGATTTGGTACTTGTTGACGAAGGGTGCTTGCGTGGATAGGACAGTGGAATCAGTGCCTTCCTAAACAAGGCACAGTCATGTAATGAGAACAGTGTCTGTCATTTTTAATGATGTGGGTATGGATCTTCACTTTTGCTCTTCCCGACTCATGGTTTACAGTGAACAGCAAATAAGGGAGATGAAGTACAGGAAAAGTCTCCGAACTCTGGAGGACGACACAACTTTAAAGGATTCATATTCATTTATTTCTAGAAAACCTATAAAGCCAGACCCTGCTTCCATTATAATGTTACAGCACCGCAATTATTGTAATAGAATTTCCTCAGGAAACTGTCTACAATTTCTGGTTCATAGGAACCATGGGTCATACAGACATGCCACTGGTGTTGGTTTGTTCCTCCACGGCAAGCCTTATGAAGTTTTGCTGTGTCTCATTCTCAGAATATATTTTGGAACACCTTGGATATGCCAAGGTGCTCGGTTAGAGAAGCATAGTTGCTATTACTCAACAGCAACAATTTTTACATTTTTACAACAATTTATTAACACCCAAGATCTAAGATTTACAGAGTGCTGGACTGGAAGCCCCCGAGTGTCAGGCAGCAAGCCCGTTCTCTGCCAAGCAGAAGTGTAGCAAGCAGCCAGGGACACTAGAGGGCAGCACATGCCCACTCAATGCTCCTCGTCTGGCGGACTAAGTGACGGGAACAGGTTGTCTGCTCCAGCGTCTTTCAAACTGGCCTTGCATCAGCATCCCTGGGAGGCTTGTGAAAGTACAGATTTCCTGGCCTCAACCCAGACTTCGTGAATCCTAATCTCTAGCGGCAGGATCCAGCAATCTATATATTAAGAATTAAAAATAATCCACATACAAGAAAGCACTCGGCTCTGGATGTGTACTTGGAGGTAATTGGCCTCCAAAAAGCAACAGGCTCCCCCACCCCACCCAGTTTTATTGAGATATAACTGACATAAAACATTGTGTTAGTTTAAGGTGTACAACAGAATTATTTGATATGTGTACATATTGGGAAATTACTATCACAATAAGTTTAATTAATATCCATCACCTCACATGTTACATTTTTGTTGTTGTTGTGATGAGAACTACTTTCTTTTTTTTTTTTTTAAATATATTTTATTGATTTTTTACAGAGAGGAAAGGAGAG